TCCCTTCCCTTCCCTTCCCTTCCCTTCCCTTCCCTTCCCTTCCCTTTATGAAGTATTTAAATTTAGGATCTTTCTATTCCACCTTATCAGCTCCATATGGTTCATAAGTACTTCCCCTGGTTAAAATGCAGTGACTGAAAAAGCAATTTTTTTTTCTCTAAATAGGCAGGAACAAATGTGGGGTCTTAATCGAACGTGTCTAGTAAGTGACAGAAAGCAAACACTGAATTAGATACAGGGGCCAAATTCTGTTCTATAACCTCCTTTCAAATTGGTTCAGGTATAGAGGGTATGAATGAAGCAGAGAAGGTGTAAATGCCCTGTCAAGATCAGATAGATACGGGCAAGGTGGAAGTTCAGTTCATTGTCAGCGTTAATCTTAACATGAAAATTTATTTGTTTCTCCTCAAGGGGCTAAGAGCTGCTGGAAATAATCCAAATACAGAATATTCCTGTGAGTTAGCTTAGGTTTCAAGGAGTATTTGGTCTGCTCTAGTTCAGGTCTGATTGATCATACTTTAATTAATAATCAGCGATATTAATATCTGGCAAGTCTATTATATCAGGTTTTAACTGATAGCAAAAGCTAAGTGTGGTCCTAGAAGTCTTTGAACAGACTTGAGTTTTGGCTTACTTATCTCTTTCCTGATATGTACATATTGGTAATGATTCCCAAAGAGGAGGGATGTGGCACAAAGAGAAACAGCTGGTGAAGAAAATTAAACAGACTTAGCAATAGGATAAACTCATGGAAGAAAAAACCATCAAAGACCATTGAAAACAAAGAAACCACCTCTAATTCAGAGAGTTTCTGAGCTGCAGACCCATGGGTATTGATCTCCTATAGCTGGTATAGGTTACCTGGCACTCACTTACTCTTATATTCTGCCCTAGGCATCTGTCTAGGACACTGTTGGCGATACTGATCTGGCTGGACCATTGTTCTCACTCGTTATAGACATACATATTTTTGTGTGGCAAAATCTCAGATTTCACTAGCATTACTGTGGACATTATTGCTATGGAAACAAACTACTGCAATTTACTGTCTACACTTTAAAAATACATTAGTGTTGATGCATTTGTATCAAACCTCATAGAAATCGACCAAAACCCTTTGTAATTTTTTTTACACTTCTGTGCAATGACCAGTGGCTGGCATAAATGCAGAAACCTTTTACAAGCTCCACACTGATGAAGCTCTAATATCTGCATAGGGCCTTCAGGGCAAACAATTTGGTTTTTATAGTGTAAGACACAAAGACACAAAAGGTGAAGACTCCAGGGCTGCTCAGCCCAGTGCCTGTTTCCTCTCCTCAGGAGCTGCCAGGAAGAGGCGGAACATGAGTTCTCCAGAAGAAGCTCTTGTTACTGCCCCAGCAGCTATTCGACAGCTGTCACTGTGGTTCTGTGCTGGGAATGCTACACCATGGAAGAAGTTCCCATCTAGGGATATCAACTACAAGTC